TAGAAACCAAAAAACTCTTCGTACTTTTTAAACTGTGCAAATCTTAGTTGGAGAGAGGAAAGAGCATTATCAACAATTTGAAGAAAATAATTGGTTCATCTCGAGCATTTTCATCAAAAAACTTACTTTTGCGACGGATCCGAATTTCAAGAAAGGCGGGTTCCACATCCATCTCCGATGCAATCTTTTGAGCTTCAACTTTTGCATTTTCAAAACCGCAGTTTCTATATTCCTCCAAAAAAACAATCAAGCCTTGTAAAAGACTTATACTCTCACCAATAACCATATCATTTCTTTGAAAAGCTTTGCTAACTGAATTCACTTTTTGCAAGATTTCAAACCAGATTACTATCCACACAAGAAAATCAAAACTTTGAAGTTCATAGTCCGCTAAAGATCTAGCATCATTAGCCTTTGTTGCATCGCCACTGTGTTCCACTAGATGCAGTAAAGCGTCTCTAATTTGAGGTGCTTGGAATCTTATAGCCTTGACGCTATCAACACGACTCTCCCAGCGTGTATCTGACCATGACTTTAAAGGAAGCCCTCTTCCTTTACAAACTTTTCCAAAGGATTTTAAAACATCACACCTCTTTGTTGAAGTAGAGAACAACTTATAATTCGTTGTATCATTCTAAAAAGTGACTTTGCCTGAATTGAGCTCATCGCCATATCACAAAGAGTCAGATTAAGAGAATGACACATGGAGTGTAAAATGCTCGAGGATACTCATTTAGCACTCTACTACCTACTCCTTTGTCTTGCCCTTTCATGTTTAAACCATTATCATAGCCTTGCCCCCTCAAGTCACTTAAATCTAATTTTAATGTACTCAAAATAGATTTAAGTTCATTAAAGAGGGCATCTCCTGTTGTTTCAACAACATTTATAAATTGAATAAAAAACTTCTCAACTGTAATTGGAGTCTTTGAAACATCAACACATCTCAATATGAGAGACATTTGCTCCTCATGGCTTACATCTGGAGTGCAATCAAGAATTACAGAAAAGTACTTTGCACCTTTAACAATCTCAAGAATTTTTTTCTTTATCTCACCCGACAACAAAAGTATTAATTCATTTTGAATATTATGGCCAAGATAATGGGCACGTCTTGTCTCTTTTTTCCTAATACCTCTAAGGTTCTCTTCCATGATCGGATCAAAATCAACAATCATTTTAATAATGCTTAGAAAATTTCCAGTATTATGATCATCAAGTTTTTCGTTTTGCCCATGAAATGCCAAATTACAACTAGCAAGAGTTTTGACAACGCAAAAGATTCGCTTCAAGACATCTCTCCAAAATCTCTTTTCTCTCTCGATAACCCTCTGATTTGCAAAGTTAATTGTTTGTTTTCTTTTCAATCTTCTTTCAACCCCTGTCCAATCTGCTAAACAATTCATATGAGGAACGCTTCTTTCATGCTCGCTAAATCTCTGATAAATATTTTTCCAATCATCATAACCAATTGTTGATATTGTTAATGGACTTGATATAATTTTATCCCTCTTGAACATAACACAACAAAAGCAAAATACTTTATCCTTCTTCTCGGAGTATACTAACCATGCTCTAACAACTTTTTCCCCATTCGACAAAGATCGAGTGTAGAGTTTATCATTGAAACTTCTACCTTTGTCGTTAATTGGATACACGACATTAGTAACTCTAACCGGCACTTTCTCGACTAAAAAATCAATCTTTCTTTGAGGCATATTATCCTCCCAATTTTCTGGATCGAATATATCGTCCAAATTTTTTCAATTCATATCTTGGTTATTATTCATATCCTCATTATCATTCGCATTCTCTAACTTACTTTTTTGTTCTTCAATTTTTCATCCCCCCTATCATTATCATTTGAATCAATTCGATCTGTTAAATTTCGATCAATTTCAACTATGGGTGTATCAAGTAATTCCGGCACAATTTCAGTAGGAGCTGGAGCTGGAGCTGGAGGTTTTACGTACCTATCCATAGATCCGGCGAGAGATTTTGTTAATATCTCTTGCTTTTCTTTCTTTTTCTTTTCGAACTTCCCAATTCGAATTTGCGTTTGCCCGTCATAACTCGTCTAGCAAATCTGATCATAGATAAAATGATAGAATAATATATAAATAAGTTTATTTACAATAGTAATTTTAAGAAAAATTACATACAAATATTAATAAAAAGAAAACACATATTGCACAAATAAATTTGTTTACAGTTCTTATAATTCTGATCATTTTCGGGTTTAATAAAAAGAAAAAGGAACTACATATATCTATCAATCTAAGAAGACAAATAAATATTAAAAATTGATGATAACGGGAAGCTGGGCAATTCAACTATTCAAGCATCAGACCCTTGTTCCTGCTGCTTCACTAATGACTAACATATGTGAATACTTTTGCAAAATGATATTGCAATTGCCAATTTGCAACCATTAACTCTCACTCTCCAAATAATCCACCAATAAGTCCGCAACAAAGGAAATTAATATATCATAAACCCGAATTCATCTTCATTCTTCAACCAGTAAAAAAAAATAGCGAAGGAAATCAATATATCTTAAATCCTAATTGATCTTCATTATTGATTCTTCAACCAGATGGAACATATTAATATCAAAATTGCTTCGAACTCGTAATGCATAATCAAAATTAAATTCAACATTTAAGGAAAAAGTTTGGAAAATAGAAGAAGCAATTCCTACTGATATGTTGATTGAGAAGCTCGGCGGCGGCGGCGGCGGCGGCAGGAGCGACGCGTGAGGCGGCTGGCTCGCGGTTGTGGTGACTGGTGAGGCCGTGAGAGCGAAGGCCAGAAGGTCGAGCAAACGTGAGAATTGGAGTTTAATCTTTAATTGTTTAATTTTATGAAATGAATTAACTCGGCTGGGGCAGAAGAAAAAAGTACCTGTTTCAATGTATCTAAATGGATTGGGTTAAGCCAACATAATATAAAAAAAAAAACCCATCACAAAGTATAATACATATATATATATATATGTGTGTGTGTGTGTGTGTGTGTGTGTGTGTATGAGGCCCCTAGAAAATTGAGGCCCTAGGCTCCTACCTTGCTTGCCTGGCCCAAGAGCCGGCTCTGAATACAACATAATATAACGTGCACAACGATCCTTTTTTGACCACTCTTGATAGGTTTTTTTCAATTCTTCCTTGTACTGCGTACTAGCAGTATCATTTGGCTCAATCATAGTAGTGGACAAGGTTTCCAAAACCTCACGTTCATAAGAAGATACTAAATCTTCTTATGCAAGATGTCATAATTGGTACCATCTAGCTTTTCGTTGGAGGACAAATCTCCAATTATAGATTTTGTTGTCATCTACAAGTATATAAAATGGATTTTACGCATGAGGTCAATATAATTAAATTATTATTATTATTTTTGTTTATTCCAAGTGTTCGAAAATTTGCCAAATAACACAAACAAAAATAAATATAATTTAATTAACATTATTCTAATGAGAGATATTTATTTATTCATGTTATTGTTTAACAAATAAACACAAATATAAACATCACAAAGATATTTAAGTTATCATAACTAACATATATTCATATATCATACTAAATAATTTTTTAAATATCACTTGGATAATTTATATAATAACAAGAAGAAGACACAATATTACGAAAATATTTATTTATACTTTTCATCATAATAACATTATTATGACTATTTCAAAAATATTTTTATTTAATGGTAAACATAAATACAATATAAATATTTAAAAAACAATAATAATAACAAATATTATTACCAATCAAACAATAAAAATAAAAGAAGAAGATTAATAAAGAGAATGGTAAAATTATTTTTATCTTCTTTTCATTAAAATTTTGATCCATATGTTAATTAGGACACAAAAACCTAATTATAACCCCATATATTTTTGTTCTTATGTTCTCTTTAAGATATTTTAATGATCACAAATTCATGAATGTCACTCTCCTTCTATATTTAACACTTAGTTAATTAATAAAATAAATTTAATGTAACAAATACATAAATATTTTGGTTTATTTAAAAAAAATGTCGGAGGAATAGGGGCTCTGTGCCACTCTTAGTGGTTTTATATAACTTATATATAAATATTTATAGAACTAACATTTATGTAGCAGAAGTAAAAACTTGCTCGTGTCTTTAATTCGTTGGCAACTAGAGTCATCATTTTCCTCGACGCTCTAAAACCCAAGACGCCTTGATGGTTTCAGCTCAACAATATAAAACACTATATAAAGATTATTGTATATTTCTCTAGTTTATTTTCTTGTCTCGTATTATCCTCTTTCAAGATGCACAAAACATCATATTTATGCTAGTCTTCATGGATCTCAAAGTCAATGAAGACTTGAAACATACTTCTCATAACGTCATATTTAATAGAGATGAGGCTGTAATACCACCAACATTAAGTGGATGTTACCAATTGATGCAAGATAACATCAATTAAAAACAACAAATTCAATAGAATTTGTATAATTTGAAAATTCTTTAGAAATTTAAAAAGAATTCATAATAATAATTATAATGTCCCGGTGTATCTATTTCTTTGAGATCTATAAAATTTGCCAAGTTGTATTGAAAAAAACAAATGATCAAACACTAGTATATAATTTTTTATTTTATTTTTTATACTGTGGTAAGTGGCTAGGATTCCCACATGATTTCGCTTCCAAAAATAAAGAGTTTTAATCGGGATCACCAAAAATCCAATACAATATTTCTGAGCAAAGATTATAATATTCATTCCCATCCCATACCCGTTTATGATTGCGAGCGGCCAAACGCCGTTTACGCCGCCGCAACGCCGTTAACAGACGAAGTTCCTCTCCTAACGGAGAAACGAAACACACAAACAGAGGTGGTCTACCTTCACTAGTTTGTTTATTCGAAAAAAAAGACGAATAACCAATAACAGTTTCCCTACTGTACAATAAAAGGCAACAGATTTCTCCATTTCCAGAAGAATAAGGAAAATATATACATATTTTTTTTTTTTTTTCCAGTAAGAGAGACACATAATTTCCCCCTCTTTTTTCTGTGGCCCTTTGTTTGGAAATTGTGTTTGGTTCGTGTTCGTCTTTTCACCACCATGCGTGTGAAATTCACTGTTTGAATCATTTTCATCTCAGCTTTCTGAGAATCTGAAACTGTATTTATGCTCTCATCGTGACGCCAACACACACACACATATATATCCATATCCACACTCTGATATATCTTTTTAGCTCGAGCTTTTTTCTTTTCTGCTGGATCTCCTTCTCTTTCTTGTTCACCCATAACCGAAATTTTCTCCAGACTTGCATCAACTTATTTTCCATTAATTATAGTGTCTGAATTCTGCATAAGCAATTGATTCTGAGCTACCGATTGGAGGAAGAAGGAAGAAGCTTTGGTAGATAAAGGAAGGAAGCACTTAATCGAGTTGATTTTTTATTGAAGTTAGGTTTTTTTGTCCAAAAGAAGAGGAATGGATCTTGAGAGGCTGCAGGCGGATCTGATTTCCATTAATATCTGAAATCGCCAATTTTAAGAAGAAAATATAAAATCTGTAGATTGGCCGGATGGAATTGCCTCAATCCAGAACCCAAGGTAAATCATACTATATCATTACCTATTTTTCAGTTTTTCAATTAAGACATAAATAGTCAAATTTCACACAATCACACAAATATGTAATTATATTTGATGTGAATTTGTATCAACAGATAGAAAGGCAATCCATGATTTTCTCACACTGTACTCATCACCAGCAAAAGCCCATGTCCAGCAAGATCCAACGCATTCCCAAGGTAAATTTAATTATTCGTTGATTTTCACTATTTCGTGGGCCATGGCAATTCTCCCCCTTTCTGGCACTCTGTCTCTTCTTTTCAGCGTGTGTGTGATTTTTTTTCTGAGCTCTATGTGTTATTCCTTTTTTATTTGATGAGAGATTTTCTCTTAGATGGCATTGAGTTCGAATGAAACTAGAATTCGATGAGTTATCAGCGTCAAATCTGACAAAATGGTCCTCGGATGATTCAATTATATTACCCTAAACTACTATTCATTTTATTTATTTCTTAAAAGAATTTTTNCAGGGGGTTTAACCAATTTTAAGCTTATTTAGTAATTTTAATAGATATCAATTTAATTTATTATTGTATCATAAATTTATATATATTGAAGACATAAACATAGTAACATGATTTATATTTAAAAATATAAAATTATTTTAAAATTGAAAAAAAAAAAGATTTTTTGCCATTTATTTATCAGTATTTTTTTTTCAATTTAATCAGTATTTTACGGTATTGGTAAGACGTATTTTAATTTTTAAACAGCTTTTTTACGATGACAGAGAAAAAGAAAGCATTTTATGGTGTTTGTTTGGCATCGGATGTGGGGAAGGGAAAAGGGCCACGACCCACGAGTGGCGCAGTTATTGTACCCGTGACCCCATCTGCTATTCATTTGCCCAAAATATTACTATTAGTTATTGTGTAGATCCAACATTTGTTAAGTCTTGATTGTCAATAAGCTTGCATAATTTAATAATTACTCTTTTTCGATACATCTTTTCTGGTCTTCAAATCCCATATTTTCTTTAATCATTCTCTCATACTGATGACAAATTTTACACCTATCAATTAACATTTTTTAAAGTTGGAATTTTGAGCAACCCAGCATATATAGGCAAGAAACATATTTTTATGGAACTTAGCAAGTGGGTCGGGGTCATCTTACTTTTTCTTTCCCCATTTATTATATCAATAATGTATGTATATTTTGTTTTTTATTTATACAGTTGACTACCTTAAGACACATGACTTCCTAAAACCACTAGAAAGAGTTGAAAAGAAGGGGCATTCAACAAACAACAAAGCTGCAGCAGAGAGGAGTGATGGTGAAAGGCCACAAGCCGAAGAAGTTTCTTATTTCAACCAAAGGCTTTTAGAAGCAGAGGGGGGCATATATTCTACACAGGCTGCTGCCTCAAACTACACTTCTCACATGGGGAAGAGTGGTTTCACATTGTGGAATGAATCTTCGGGAAAGACAGGGAAGGAGAATATTGCTTCACACACACATATTATGCAAGGTTAAATACTTAGCTTCCGAAAGAAAGAAATTATTTAAGGGTCAATTACATTCATTCTTGGTGAATTATCAATCTTAAGATTTATCCCCACATTAATTAATGAAATATTTGATTTCTTTTAGCAGATGCTGATGTGAATGTGGAGGGTGGACAATGGACTTCGTTGTTGGAAAACCCATCGCAATCATCTTCGAGTTACAAACATAACACCACAACTTTCACCTCTTTTTCGTCATCTCAGTCAGTCACTCTTTCACTCCCAGTTTTTTTTATCTGTATCTAAAATCTACGTTTATGTCAAGTTCTCTCCTTTCCTCTGCATATTTATGTTTTTCGATATAATTGTCATTTCTCAGGCCATCGACCTCCCAGAAGAACCAATGTTTCATGGAGATGATAACATCGGCAAAGAAAAACCATGAAGAAGAAGAAGAAGAAGATGATGATGATGTAGGAGATGAGTTTGTCATCAAGAAAGAGGCCTCACCGCACCCTAAAGGTTTTTTTATTCTTTATAGATTAATGTACAGGTCTGTTGCTTCTGCTGGTAATCAGTTTCGGATCTACATTTGGTAGGAAAACTATCCGTAAAAGTTGAAGCAAAGACCATTGACCATAAGCCTAATACACCGCGTTCAAAACATTCAGCTACAGAGCAACGTAGGAGGAGCAAGATCAATGACAGGCATGATAATTCCTAACCTATCTTCACAGTTTTAAAAACTCAAAAGTTTCTATTTCAAATTTGTTTTTGCACTAATTATGTTTCTTTTTTTTTATTAATAATTTTCAAATGTGGTGTATACCATCAGTTGGACGTACTTTTCCGTAATTATGCATAATTTCACAATAAGATGTCATACTTTATGGAACATTGTGAACAAAAGTATGACATTTCCCTACAGATAGTTTTGTTGGAAATTATGATGATTTAACCTGCCTAGCTAGGGTATTTTGCATAGTTTTGTTTGTTTGTATCAGTGTCTTCTAATTCTGAAATCATGATTCCTTTTCTTCTCTAATTATGAATAGGACAGACAACTTTTTGTGTAGCCAAATCATGAGAGATTGGTCATTGTTTGTGTTTGCTAATCATGGCACTGGAATCTCTGTACTTGCTAGGACATTCCCTTAACTAAACGTCTTTTTGTGATGTAAAAACAGTTCCTTGATTTCCATAATTTCTTATATTACATAAGAATACGTGTAACACAACTTGTGCACACCTTATACAAAATCTTTGATGCTTGTAAGAATGTATTTTCCAATTCATGAGTTCTTATCTGGATATGTTTTAGCAAATTTTCCTTAAGATAGCAACTTAAGTTAAATGGACACATGATAATCTACTTTCTGCAATCACACGGAAAACAATCTGCAATCACAAACTTGGGTCTACAGTAGTTGCAGAGAAAGTATAACATGGTCAGATAATGTGGGGTGTTGTGCAGATTCCAGAAGATGAGAGAGATTATTCCTAACAGTGATCAGAAGAGAGACAAGGCATCATTTTTACTGGAGGTATGGGGTAATCATAATATGAAAAAAGAAAACTTTTAATCCAGCTTCAAAACTAAACTGAAGTATTCCAGAATCTGTATCTGAAAAACTGATACAATAGAGTATTGTGCCAGGTCATAAACTATATTCAGTTCTTACAAGAGAAGGTAAACAGATATGAAAGTTCCTACTGCAATGGCTGGAACCATGAGCCGTCCAAGATGATGCATTTGGTAAATCCATATTCACATCAATATATATATATATTCTTCAAATGTATCATAAATGAAGATAGAGATAACTCATTTCGTACTATTGAAAAGTAAATTTAAATTACATTATCTGCAATTTGAATAACGTAGAAATTAAAACAATTACTCTATTGATTGATTATGGATTTTTTACGTAAAATGTTTTAAGTGAAATTGTTACATTATGTATATTGAAGGATTATTTTTGGCTTAAACTAGTCATAAACATTTATTTGTCAACTAAATTCTTCGCCTTTCATATGTTTTCCAAAAAATTATTGTACTAAGAATGCCAACAGTAACCATTATGATATTTTGAAACGAAAACAAATGTGAAAAATGAAACAAAAATGAAACAAAATGAAACAAATGTGTGTGTGTGTGTGTGTGTGTGGCGTTTACTTGAAATAATATGTGTAATTTTTCACTGAACTTTTTTAGTTTCTAAAAAAGGAACTTCTATAGATTTTTTTTTATTTTTTTCATATTTTCCTTTTTAGCATTGTATATTTGCTTGAAACTTGAAACTAATCTCTCTTTGAAACATAAGGAATCCTTTTTTTTTATATGGTTATAATGATTACTGCAAGATTACTCAAATTGAATTATAGATAATTGTTTAGCAATCTGTAAAAGAATAATTATAACAATTTGTCGTTATAGATATAAAATGAGAATATAATTTATCTTTAAAGTACTTTCTTCGTTATAACACCAGCCATTTATGATACTACTAACTTAAGTGACATACTACAAAAACATTAATTGATATGTAAATTTTATCTGCTATGTAGTTGTTATGTAGTAACTCATGTTTGGTATTGCGTCATCGTGTCAACCACTTACTTTTAAATTTTTTAAAATTATTTTTATTTTTTTTATAAATTGCATACACTAAGAAATAATTGATTTATCTTTATGTTTACTTTTTTTAAATTGCATAAAGAAATAATTTATTTATTTTTACATATATAATTTATAATTCTAATATACTCTCATTTGTTATCAATATTTACTACATGAATCGTAATATTTTTTATTTCATAATATTAAATATATTTAAGGAAAAAAAAAATTGGGATCAATCTGGTGATTAAATTAGGTTACTGCATTGATTAAAGTACTTTTAGATGATATTTAAAATAGTCTAAAAAATATGGTTTGTTTGATATTGGTGTATAATTTATGCTAATAGTCTTTGAAATTATGGTAAAAATTCAAAACTAGTCCCACATGCACAAGGAGGTGCCATTTTTTTTTAAAATCAAAATATCCCACAGCTTTCAAAAAATAACCAAAAGTATGACTTTTTATACAATTTCTTGCCCGAAAGGCCCAAAAACCCACGTGGCACAGAGGTGGCAGTTTATGTTGACATGCTGACAACAGTCCTCAGACGTGGCATGACACTATCAAAGATAAAAATATTAATTGACGATGATAACCATCAAAGATAAATTATATTAATCTTTATTTATTTGAAATTTATTAATTTATATATACTCTTAATTTCTTCTGTTATGATAACAACTCCAAAATCATTTCTCGGTTACTATAGAATAAAAGTTGAAGATCGGAATAAAAACAAAGAAAAAAAAAAGATTAAATGAAGTAAATTAAAAAAAAAGGTCTGAAAACTATTATATTATTGTAATTTCCTCACTTTAATAATTAGACTACATTATTAACTAGAAGTTATATATTATGTAGGGTATTTTTGGCAATTCAATTTTTTAAGACAACTCACACATTTAAGATTTAAGAGAGTTACAGATGGATATATGTACAGATGCAAATAAAATATTATAAATTATATATATGAATATAATATTTTATAATTATAAAATATATATTTATAATTAAAAAAATATATAATATACATATCACATCTTATAAATTTGATCTATGAACAATATAATTTACTATGTCATATATGAATCACTATATAAATGACATAAAATGTAAAGAGTAATATATTTTTTATAAATTTAAGAAGTCGTATTAGTTGAATAAAATTAAATTATTTTTTATTATAGAAAGTTTCATACCATTTTAAGGGATTTTTTAATTTTTTGTGCCATTAAATTTAATTAGATATTAAAAAAATTTAATGAGATAAAATTAAAAATAAATTTAAAAAAAATACTTGAAGAAAAAAATTAATAATTTTTTAAAACCGTATAACTTTTATAATTTTTTTCGTGTGAATTTATAATTAGTTAATATTAGTAGTAATTATTATATGACAAAAAAGTTAAAAAGAATTATTATATTCAAATAATGTAAAATGTAACAGTCACTTTCCATAAATAAATGAAGAAAAGGAGTTGGAAAATAATATTAAATTGATATACATAGATATATCTAGTCTACAAATTCTCCTTTTCAGTTTGTAATTATTTTCAATGATAAATTATAATAATAAAAGAATATGCTCTTCACTGTCATTCATTTGTGGTTGCAACAGAACAACAGTCACATAGCCAAAGGTGTTTTAGACCAAACAGAAAGTGGAAACACAGATTCTTCTGGTGCAGCTGCAGTGTTTGGTAGGAAGTTGGGTGGGGACAGAGCTTGCAGACCCACAAGTCTCCCCATTAACGGACGAAACTTAGTGAACTCAGATAGAGTCTTAACTAGTAAGGCAGCACAGGCAAACATTTTCACTTTTGCTAAAACTAGCATGGCAGTAGCCTCTCCAATTTCACCTACGCCCCAGCTATCTGATACAGATAGAACTATGACGTGGACTACTGCTTTCCACAAGACGAAAGATGAGGAACTGGCAGTTGAAAAAGGCACCATCAAAATCTCGAGCATGTACTCACAAGGGTGAGAACTACTTATGCATTTTGTTTGTTACTCATTCTTTTGAGCTCATTGAATCTTCCCTTTCACTGTCTATCGTCTCTAAATTGTTCATCTTTGTTAATCGGATGGACAAATTAAAAAAGATAAGAAGAAAAACAATTCATTTCGGTTGATTGCAAGACAAATAGACAGTTGTATTCAATTTAGATTTGTTAAGACTTTTTAAAGTTTTGGGGTATTCAATTGAGATTTTAAAAAGTCTTATAAAATCCGGAGGTATTTAACTTATTTGAGACTGGGATTTGTTAAAACTTTTTAAGATTTGACAAGATTTTTAAACAAAAAACCTTATACAAAATTCCACTTCAAATCCTACCTCCATACTTAAGATTTCATAGAATTCATCCAAAATCTGAAAATCTTAAAAAATCTCAAATCTTATTAAAGTCTCAAAATGTCATTTGAAATCTCAATGTAATACACCCCACTAAATCTTCCCTTTCGCTGTCTATCGTCTCTAAATTGTTCATCTCTTTTAATCGGATGGACAAATAAAAAAAATAAAAAAATAAAAAAAAAGCAGTTCCTTTCAGTTGATTACAAGACAAATATATGGAATAAAAAGGAAGTAGCAATTGTTTGATCCATCAAAGGTGATTTTGTGTATTGATGAACACTCTTAAAATAACACATATAGGTTGTTGAATACTCTTGCACAAGCCCTACAAACGTCTGGGGTAGATATTTCTCAGGCCAGCATCTCTGTGCAAATTGAATTGGGGAAAAGAGCGAATTGCATCCAACAAGCTTCGACCCCTGACAAGGTACCTTGTAATTTTCATTTGTTGCTTCTTTCGTCTCTTTAATATATAACTTTGACTGATGTCCGAACATTTCACAGGATGATAATGTACCAGCAAGTGCAGGGGTTAAGTATGACCATACTTTAAAGAGACTCAGAACCAGCTAAAGAATTATAACACTTGTAATGGTATAGTAAATTCTTTTGATGTTGTATTTGTTCAATATTTTTGGTTCCCTTTTCCCTTCTTAAAGTTCATGAATGTATCTGGCTAAAAATTCAGGGATCAGTGTACTTGTATTTTTGTTTTCCATAGCTTCCTCCTCGAGCGTTGGGATGGCACAGATTCCTTAGATAGAAAATGTTATCTTCACAGGGCACTATTGGGATCTTGATGGGATTAATTTACTTTCTTTCTAAATTGATTATTGTTGAGGAAATAATACATACATTACATCTCCTTTGCTTGAAATTAAAGAGGTGCGTTTTGGAAGTGGGACTATAAACTTCTATGGGGTCCACCGAAACATTTTGCCATTTTGGCTTTTCTTGAAGACTACTCGTCTTTCCACACAAAAGATAGGATTAATAACACCATTTTGGGGCCCATGTACTATCACCAATTTGTGGGATTTTTACCTGGTCCAAGATTTTAACCGAGTTGTTCTCATTCTTCCCAAATGCATGGATAAGAGGTCATTAGTTGTCTTTGCTGAATGTACATGGGAGCCTGCTTAACCGGGCTCTTCTCATGCATGGATAAGAGATCATTAGTTGTCTTTTTCTGAATGTACATGGGTGCGTGCAGTGTAGTAATACATAGCAACACAAAATATAAAGCAGAACTAATTTAAACAAAATTGTCTCTAGGAAGCTTCCCGCTTAACTAAGAACTCTTTCACTAGAAAATGGTTGTGGATACGTAGTGTAGTATAGATTTACTCGGCTAAAACTCTTTACAAATCTACCAGCCCTATACTCCACTTCTCTGGCTACTTTTTTGTCCCTACACTCTTATTCTCTAGCTACTTTTATGGCCAACTCGTGGACTTCAAAACCTATCGTGGATCCCTGCACAGGTACACGAACACTTATCCCAAATGTCGTACGAAAATGAATAAAAAATAAAGATGTCAATGTTTTAGCCCGTAAGAACACGAACTAAAAGTTTGACTAAAAACTACTCCCTCCTATTCATAATAAGTGTCGTTTTGGGAAGTTGCACACTAATTAAGAATAGTTTTTTTGCCAATAATAACCCTCATTAATGAAGATAGAGATGGATGTTTTAAAAAAAAAAGATGAAGAGAATATGAAAAGACGTAGTGTATTTATTAACTAAATGAGGGTAATAATGGAAAAATATGTACAAAAGATCCAAAACGACATTTATTTTGGTTAATAGTTGATAAAGCCATAATGACATTTAAAAAGAATATGAGGTAGTATGAAATAAAATCAAGCTAAGTTGTCAAAACTCTCAGAAAAACCTAAAGGCATGCTTGTTTATAAATGATTTCACTCTCATTCAATTCATATTCAAAATTTAACTCAACTTTAACTCAACTCCACTATCTTTAGTATTATTCATATAATTAAATAGTACAAACCAATCATTCTTACACACCACATCAACTTTAATTCACTATTCATCCACTCACAAATTTTAACTATCTATCATTTCTAATCATTTTCAATCATTTATCTCATACTTTTACATCAAATTAATTTTAATAATTTTATCTTAAATATTATTTTAATACATTTTTAAAACCCCACTAACAACTAACCGCACCACCTTTTTCAGAATTAACTCTAGTTAACCAAAATAACTCATTTTTGACAAATTGTTTAGTAAACAAGGGAGCCCTAAGAGTCTTGTGCTATCTCTCTCAACTAATACAATACAATGGTGAAGAATTTTGATTATGTGTGTGTGTGTGTGTGCCTTCTTTTGGTAATCGATCTTCATAATCCACGTCAGCTCGACCTTGAGGTCGTTGAGTCGCTTCACTTCAGCGACCAAACCTTTGTTCTCAGTTTTGAGGGCTTGGATGAAAGGGCCAGATCCTCCGACGTCCTCGTTGAGGATGGGCACGACGACAACAAGAAACTGTGGGCAAGAGTTGAATTAGAATGGCCAAAATAGAGAGGAGTATCGAGCAACACTTAAAGATGGTGAGGACGGAAAGTACATGTGCCAAACCCTTGGCCGCGGAGCCTGCTCGACTTTGTCTATCAGAACCCCAACAATGAGTCTCGGCTGGAGGAATGCACTTGAGGAGATGTGAAGTGATGGCTGCTCCTTGGGAGTTTGCAGCAAAAGAAGGATTAGCCTTTACCAGAGTGCTCGAGGAGGGTATGTGCGATTCCTCGACCTGTGGCGCAGAAGGTCGACGTTCGATTAATTAATATCATGAATGAATTGTTTGTAATTCAAAGCTAAATGGACAGTGCAATAATATTACTATAGTGGAATGTTATATTATTCAAGAAGGAATAATGGTGTGAACACAATGTTTCCTATTTCTATGTGGTAAGCCAATATTTAGCACCTTCTTATTCTTGTTGTAGCCTATAAATACACCAAATCCCTGTTAGTGTATATACTTAACGCTTGGCTTTTTGAGTAATAAACACTATATTTCTTTTGAATGAGAATCGAGGTTAATTAAACTGTTTTATGTTATGACGTTTTACATTTGGATATTGTCATTCAACACCTAGATGAGACAGAAGATCTATTATTGGTTACTTGTAAAGCATAAATAATTGGTTCACAACTTAGATGAAAATGAACAACCCATTGCAAACGATTGTAGTATTAACTGTATTGTTTTTTTTTTTGACCGGTTGGTTGCACTAGTGCACTGTGTGCATTGAACGGATCCCATAGAGGAGAAGTTTTTTTTATCCTTGAGCGGGAACAAAGGCCGTTCTCTGGGGAGGGATCGTTTTTTTATGAGATTGTCCCTTTAGCTTGTGAACAATTTTAATTGCGAAATCATTGTTTCGCCTTTGGTGAAATAGGTTGACTTCATAGGGTTGCCTAAGATATGTTTAGTTAGATCGACTATCACTGCTCCGATCGTTGAGATGCACCAGTTGGTAGAGGTTTCCTTCTTTTATGGGAGGCACTATTTTTTAGGGATTTTCTTTGGGTTCATGTGAGGCAGTTGTTGGTCTACCAGCTCTGCAGTTGTGTCGGCATGTGTTGCAAGAATGGTTTACCTTATTTTTCGAGAATATATATTTTGACTTTGAAATACTTTTGACGATCTAGATACGACTAGGAGCGTATATTATTCATTTGGAGGTCGTTTCTAGTTGCAAAGAGACGATTGATGATCGACAAGAGTATTTTTTTTCCTAGTATAGAGGCCGTCTGTAGTGTGTAAAGAAACAATCGTTGATCAACAAGAGTATTTATTCTTCACATAAAAATCGCCTTTGGTGTGTAAAGAGATGATCATTGATCGACAAGAGTATTTTTTCTTTACGTAGAAGTCGCCTTTTCGTTGTAAAGGGACCTTTCCTGATGATCGGCAAACGACCAAGAGTACATTCACTTTTTTACCTGGCTTTGTTTAAGAACATCAAACTAAACAGGGTTCTATTTAGACGTTTGTATCTTGCTTTGGATAACGTAATAGCGTGACATTCTTGTTGAATTTTCACGTGTGGCGATCGAAGACAGCAACCTCGTCGAGATGTTACAATGTAACGATCGCGCATACAAAGCAAGGACAACGATCATATAAAAATAAGCAAGAGTACAATAAGCAAGAGTACAATGATTTTTATATGTGCAAAGTTGTTTCTAAAATTCCCAATGATATGCGTCTTAACTCGGGCAAGATGCATGAACATGTGTAACTTTGTCGATTCTATAAACATATATAAACATTTTTATAGAAGAAAAATTTGCTAGTCTATACATGTGTAGTAGAAAACCTCTTTTAGTGATGTTGTTGCCAGTGTTTCTGTCGTAGATCAGTTGTTTGCCCATTTGCGTTAGTAAGGGTTGATCGGTAAGTAGTTCTCCCCATATAATGATACTGGGCCGAAGTGTCCTGGAGCATCTTTGCATAGATCGACAAGCATTGGATCGATACTTCGCCTATTTTGCCGATGACTCCTGGGATGATATTCTGCTGAAAATGTCCCAGGGAGCATCACTACGCAAACCCGTCGATTATACTTGCAGATCCAACATTTTTTGGCGATTGTGGGGACAACTTGTGGTATTGGTCAACCTTGATGGGTTATCTTGACGACTTGCAGATTCAACATTTTTTGGCGATCGCAGGGACAACGTGTGGTATTGGCTAACCTTGATGGGTTATCTTGACCCATGGATAAGGTTCGCTCTATGGGTCATTGCTTGGCCTGGCCCCCGGATGTGTTATAGCAACTCGGTTAGGCGATCGACATGTTGGGCGATTAAGATCGGATATAATATAATGATCGCCCAACAATTATATGACGATTGTCGAGTTGACCGATTTCATGACCTGAAGACAAGATCTGACAGTGGACTATTTGGTAAATCCTTGCCATACTTGCCTTTAGGCCCTCGGCTATGAGGAAACTGTCGTTACTCTAGGGTCGACGAACCTTATACCCTCACATTCTTGTCGAGGGTGAGCTAATCGATCCGTATTCTTTTTGAATGTGGGCTAATATAGATTTTGGCCACAATGTATAGATTTGGGTTTTTTTGCATGGTGAGGAGACAAAGAGAAAATATTTGGACACTTTTATGGAGATTTTTATTTCGACAAAGTAAAGAGGTATCGGTGACGGAGGGTCAGTTGAACCTCCATTTCTACCGACCGATAACAAGAAAAAGAGGGTCGGTTGCGCCGCCCTTCATTTGACAATGATGAGTAGTATGTGTGAAGTGGAAGAGAGAAAGTGTATGTGAAAGAACCTCAGAGGATGACCTTATATAGTGAGGAGATCTAGATGTAACTTTTGATGGTCGTCCTTCCTCTAGCGCTATTTTGTTGATGGTCGACCGTCAACGGTTATTATGGATATAAATTTAGGCAGTTTAATCTGTTGTTACGGTATACTTATCGTGTAATTAATTGTAATTAATCTCATGAAGATATGAACAAATTTAGGAAAATAAATATGCACGAAAAAGAACAAGACACCGATGTTGCTGATCAGATGTGGTGTTCGGCAATGAGAATGGTTCTCTGGAATTTTCATTGAGAAATTGTATAGGGATGTATTGCAGTCATATGAGGAAGAAACTCTATGTGTGTTTGGTCATATTTTTAGGTTGTACTTGGTTATTTTGGGTAGGTATTTATACACTAAAAAGGTAAAAAAACATTAAATGTGCATTGTCAGTTATGGGCGTATGAGAGGCGTCACGTGTATC